TCACACGTGCAAGGAAGTGCTCTACCACTAAGCTACAGCTCCAGCCCCTTTTCATAGCACTTTTTTGGCTAGAGTGGGGGTTGGAGGGGAAAGCTCTTGTCCAAGTCAACTCCAGAGAACTGGCCCTCATTTTTCTGAGGAAATGTATACATTAAGTGTTGGTGTGTGCCTCATGGAGGTTAAATTAGTCCTTATGATAGACAATGCCAAAGTGTGCAAATTATTTGTAGCATGTCAAGGAAAAGAAATTATTATAACCTGCTAGGAGAGGTGGGGATAGTTGTGAGGAAAATAAACCAGCAGATCAGTGTGTCTGAGCAAAAGACCAACACTGTGAGAGCAAAAGAAAGTGGGAAGAATTTATATGGATTAGTTGGGAAGGCAGATTAACAGGAGTTCTCCATATATATATAAGCAGAAATGTGAGCGATGCATAGGTAATATGGGAAGATATGTCTGGCTGTGGGTGCTGAGTAAACTAGAGATCATGTTAACATTAGGTGTACTTRTCTCCATTGGTTTCAATGTCTTGGAAGTAAATTTTCACCCAAGTCTCATCTATAATACCAAATAATATATCGGAGGCCATCTCCATGTCTTGGATTCATCTTATTTTCCCTTAGTACATTTTTCTCTGGACTTTTAATGCTTTGACTATAAACGAAGTAGCAAGATTTTATTGTTTGCTTGTTTTTCTTTCTTCTTTTATTTCCCAGCCTCAGAGTTTTGCACAGAAGCCTTTCCTGCTTCTGGGAACTTTCTTCTGAACTACTTCTGGCTGACTCCACCTTACCATTAAGTCACTTCAAGGTGACTTTTTAATCTAAGGCTATCTTATAAGAGTCACCTATAGTCACTTGGTATCATACTATTGCTTGCATTTTCTTCTTGTCCTATAACAGTATGTAAAATTCTCTTATTTGTTTAATCACTTAGATTGGGCCCCTCTGGTAGATGTAACATTCATGAGACCACATGAACTTTCTGTCTTGTTCACTAAAATTCTCAAGTGTTTAAAACAGCACACTGCATGATTGGGCTCAATAAATATTTGCTCTTTAAAATATATACAACAATGAAGGATTATTAGATTCTGTGGTGCTGATCTAGTATTGATGTGATCAAGGTCCAGACTCCAATGGAAGCAATGAACATAGACATAAGTTAGAATTGTAGAAAAACTATGAACAAGAATAAAAAATATCTTGAAAGTGATTGTCTAGAGAGGAGTTACTGTCTGGTTTACTGGTTTCACATACAGAGTTTTAAGGTCCCCGAGTTGAGAGGGATAGCTGGGTAAACACACCATGTTGGAGATGAGCATTAAGGCCATTGGAGAGCAAGAGCCCTGAGCCACCCTGCCTCAGTCCAGGCCCAATAATGTGTACAGGAAGTATTCCTGTGGTCAAAATCGCCTCTTCTTTTTATTTCATAAATCTTTGGTCTTAAAATGAGCCACCTCCCCAGGTTTGACTCAGACTTTATATCTCTGTAACTAAGTACAGAATCTTTCCTTTATGTCTTGGAACCAAGCCACTTTGAGACTGAGAGCTCATAGATAACTTCAGTCTCTCATGGCATAACAACTTCTGGCCTCTTGGTCATTGTTGTTATCCATACGTCCTATTTAAATTTTTCCAAATCTAAGTAGATAAAATATTTCCCACTGAATCAAGTAGGCAGAAATAATTTATTTTCAAATAACAAATTTAGGTCTAATATATTGGGTCTATATCTTAGAGTGTTAGAATGCTCCAATAAATATTTACTACACTGTAGTTTTTATAAAAATTAATCTCAGGAACAAAGACATTCATTTTCTGGAGCTCTAAGAGTGGGAAATAGATCTGAGAAAAAAATAATAAAATGAACTACTCCTTCTACCATGAGAAGTGTCTATCCTGTAACTGTTTCTTTAAAATGTGTGAGACCAAAGTACCTCAGGCCATAGCAGCATTAGTATGTGGACTACTGTTAATGAAGTCTGCCTCACCTGATGAGATATGAGGAAAAGTTATATACAGCACAGGAGACACAAAGACTAGACACTAGTCACAAATCACCTACTCCCAGGTCTTGCCATAGGATTTTGTATTTCTCTGTCCACTGAACATATAAACACCTCCTGTCCACAACACTAAATTGAGTATTTGATCACATGAATGAGTAGGCATGAGCCCCACACACTCACTCATATAATGAATGAAAAACATTTTGCTTAGACTGTGCATATATTATTAGTATAACTCAAAAATAACAAAGTAATGCTCACTTTTTGTCTCATTAAGGCAAAAGAGAATTAAAATGAAAAGTCAAGCCTTCAGAAGTAATAAAGATGAAAAAAATAGCCCCGAAGCCTTAAAAATTTTACTTAACATTTTAAAGAATCAGTTTCCTTACTTTAAGATAAGATTAGTCTCACCTCCTCAAATGGTATAGAATTTCAAGGAAGTATTAGTAAAGAACATTTTCTGTCATTTTTTAATGGGTAACGATAGTCGTTTACCCAACATACTGTGGCTTGTTTCTGTATGCCTTATTCCATTCTGTACTCTTGACCTGGCTGTATTCTTTCTTAGTTACAAACTTAAATATCTAAATATTTCCTTTTGGATTGCTCAAGTGTGATCATATACAATATGCCCAAGACTGAGGTCACCAAGTGATTGTGCATGTGGCAGAGAAGACTGTAGCAAGTAGATAGACTGTGCTTGAATTAGAAATTGAGTTCCAGAGCATATCCAAAAAGTATTCTAGTTTGAGTGTTATTTTTGAAACAAACAGCAATACCATGTTCCAATGGATGAATGCCCTGACCTTTTTTTTTTAAAAAGTTAATATTTATCTGCTTGATAAACTCAGATGAGGCCCATCCTTATCTAGAATATTAGGAATTAGTAAAGCTTGAATAATTGGAGTAAAGCAAATACACTTTAAGACATATATGTCTTAAAGTATATATATTTTAGGGCTTGTAGTATTTGCCTGTGCCTCTGTGTGAGTTGGGTGGTTAGGGGTGCAGACATGCTGCAGAACCTTCACAGGATGGGAGTGAGATCACAGGTATGTAGGGGTAAGTGAGCTCAAGGCACTTGAATTCTGGAATGATCCAGATCTGATGAGATATGAGGACAAGTTATATACAGCATAGAACCACATTTATTGATACTCATCCTTTCTCATAACTTATTTTGGCTTTGTGTACCTGAGCTGTTGATAGTCTTATGATAACTCAGTCTTATCCCTAGAGAACTGGGACAACTAAAGAAAATTTCTGATCCCACATGAGTCACAGTGAGCAGCCTTACCAAGAGAGCTACCCTGCCCTGAGGCCTGGATGATAGTATCTACAGCAGTTGAAAGTAGAAGAGAGTTGCCACAGGACAGTCATTGAAGAAGAAAGCAACACAGGAGAAAGATTACAGAGCACAGAAAAGAACAGGATCTTTAAAAAGTGCTAAATTCTGCCAAACAAGATTTCAAAATTGTAGCTTTGACAATTGGCTCTTTGCAAAAAAAATATAAAAATTTTATATATTATTTTTAGTAATATCTGTGGGTTTTAGGGACAGGATGTCTGCAAATGATGCATCAGAATTTCTCTAGAACATCTTTTTACCCCATCTACATGACTGTTCTCTGGCAGGAGAGGTGTGAAAAAAGAATATTGAAAACAACTTGGATATATAACAGTTATAAGACTAATTCAGATTTTAATATAATAAAACCCAAGAATCTAAAGGTGAAGCTAAATCCTCTTTTATTATTATTATTATTATTAAAAATATTTGAAAGACCTCTTATCCAAGAAAAAAGAAAATGAAAATTTTACTAATTTCCTTGGAATAACAACCAATACAGAATCCCCTTTTTTTCAGGGTAACCTAAAATATTAGTATAATTGGGTTTCAAAGTGGTAGAGCTGAAAGGTTGAGCTATCTCTGTGAACCATGCATTGCCAGGGAAAAATAAGGAAATTTCTAGACTTTGGGTTCTCAGAATCAGGAGGAGACTATAAAGTAGAAATATGGTAAGAGAAATCAAAAAGCATTCCTCCTTTTTAAAAGGAAATGGGAATGTAAGCAAGGGACAAATTCCAGGAGGTAGAGATGATAGAAAGTGGAAAGATGAGTAAACAAAACAAAAAAGTATAGAACTCAATAATACAATCAATGACTTGGACTTAACTGACACATATAGAATATTTCATCCTTCAACAAGTGAAAATACACTTTCTTCTCAGCAGTACATGGACCCTTCTCTAAAATAGACCATATATTATGCCACAAAGCAACTCTTAGAAAATACAAAAAAGTAGAGATACTACCTTGCATTCTATCACACCACAATAGAATGAAATTAGAAGTCAATGATAAAATAAAAAATAAAAGTGACTCCAACACCTGGAGGCTAAACTATATGCTACTGATTGAGCAATGAGTTGCAAAGGCTTCAAGGAGGAGATTTAAGAATTCTTAGAGATAAATAAGAACACTGATGAAACATATTGAAATCTCTGGGATGCTATGAAGGCAGTACTAAGAGGAAAGTTTATTGCATGGAGTTTATTCTTTAAAATAAGAAAAAGTCAACAAATAAATTACCTAACATAACATCTTATAGCCCTAGAAAAAGAAGAACAAACCAACACCCAAAGCAGTAGAAGACAGGTCATAATTAAAATCAGAGCTTAAATCAATGAAATTGAAAAAAAAATTGATTCTCAAATCAGGCAAAGACACATGAAAGAAAGAAAACTTCAGAACAATATCTCTAATGAACATAGATGCAAAAATTCTCAGTAAAATTCTGGCAGATTCAATACAAAAACATATCAAAAAGGATAGTGTATCACAATCAAGTGGGGTTTAACCCAGGGATGCAATTCAACATATGGAAATCAATAAATGTAATTCATCACATCAGTAGACTTAAAATAAGAATCACATGATCATCGCAATAGATTTAGAAAAAGCATCCAACCAACTACAGCACCCATTATGTTCAAAACACTAGAAAAACTAGCGATAACAGGAACGTATCTCAACATCATTATAGTACATCTGACTTAAAATGGGAAGCCTGCCATTGGTGTCCTGTGGGGCAAGGTGAATGTAGATGAAGTTGGTGGTGAGGCCCTGGGCAGGTAGGTATCCATGTCATAAGGCAGCTTGTTAGTAGGGGTGGTGGGGTGGGGGGATGGAAGCTGAGCCTATGGAGACAGACATCTCTGACAGGCACTGACTTTCTCCATGACCTGGCTCTTTTCACCCCTTCAGGCTACTGGTTGTCTACCCATGGACCCAGAGGTTCTTTGATTCCTTTGGGGACCTGTCCTCTGCATCTGCTGTTATGGGCAATGCTAAAGTGAAGGCGCATGGCAAGAAGGTGATTGATTCCTTTAGTAATGGCCTGAAACACCTCGACAACCTCAAGGGCACCTTTGCAAGTCTCAGTGAGCTGCACTGTGACAAGCTGCATGTGGATCCTGAGAACTTCAAGGTGAGTCTAGGACATCCCCTCAATGTGATCCTTTCTTTTCCTTCCTAAGGATAAGTTCATAGCAGGAGGCAAAGGCATCTGTGTTAGAGACAGTTGATCTTTCATTCTCTACTGACAACAATTGTTTCCTCTCATTTCATTTTCATTTTCCAGTTTTCTTTTCTACAATTTCTGTGCTGTCTTCTTTCATTAAACTTTTTTGTATTATGTTTGTAAATTTAAAATCGTTCATCTTTTAACTTACATTTAAGATTTCGTCTTCTTTAAAATTGTCTCTGATCTCTCTTTCAAGGCAAGGAAGATAAAATTGTCATGCTTCTTTGTACAGTGTTAAAAAATAACAGTGAAAATTTATTTCCTGGATTAAGGAGATAGAAAAGAAAACTTATGCATATAAATTCTGACAGACACAGAAGAATTCTTATTAGCAGCAGCTAAATTCAGCCATCATTCTGCTTTTAGTTTGCTATTACAACAATAAGCACAGCTGGAGATGAGATGGGAATATTCTCTGTGGGAGCTCAGACTCTCTGTTAACCATATTCACACCTCTTTCTTCCCACAGCTCCTGGGCAATGTGATTGTGGTTGTGATGGCCCATCACTGGGCAAGGAATTCACCCCACAGGTGCAGGCTGCTTTTCAGAAAGTGGTGACTGGTGTGGCCAATGCCATGACTCACAAATACCACTAAGCTACCTTTTCTACTGTCCATCTCATAAAAAAGGCCTTTTGCCCCAGAGAACAACTACTAAATATTGGGGAACTTATGAAGGCCTTTGAGCATCTGCCTTCTGCCTAATAAAATCACTTTTTGTTGCAATGGTATATGATATGTTTGTGTCTTTCATTCATGAGGGATAGTGGAAAGACAAGTCATTTAAGACATAAAGGGCTTAGTTCAGACCTTGTTCTAATACACCTGTATCTTGGACTCTATGAAAGAAGGGAAACTGTTAAGAATGAATGTATGTGGGAAACTTTCTGCTTTCTATTCCTTACAACTCATAAAAGGATTTAAATGAAACTTTGGTTCAGGGGTTAGGTTTTTGCTACTTTTTTTTTAAATTAACTATTATCTTCAGCCTTCCTCATGAGTGTCTCTTCTTTCTTCAGTTCCTTCCCCAGAACCTCACAGCCTTAGTCCACCAAGTTCTCCTGCTTATAGATTCCACTACTCCCCAAGGTTTTCCTTCCATGTTGTACTGGAAACATTGCTCCTTTCCCCTGATCTGGTTAATCCTTAGTTACCTCTATTGTCTCAAAGAGATCTGTCTGGGGAAGGGTAAAGAGAAGGAGGTGGTTTGGCCACTGTGTAATTGTGAACTTGTTCCCTTCCTCTACCATTAACAGTGACCAAAAATCTGCAATGCTGGTCTCCCTGGTGCCTTCRCTCTTCCAGAGTCTGCATTGGAAGGACTAGGCTGTCAATAGTTGTGATGACTGCTGGGCTCAGGGGGCTTTTTATGACTTGATATTTATTGTTATCTTACAATCTTTATTTGAGCCCATGCCAAATASAATTCCTGTTTTTCCTCAAGTTGTTTATCTTTGATATATGAGAAGTTATTAGAGATCTGATTTCTCCCTTAGCCTTCCTGTAATGGCTTTTCTGCCTCTGTATTTATCAGTGTTGCCATGAGCAACGCATTCTAGCTACATTTCCTTATTTAGTATCCACTTCAGTATATACTACATTCTGGAAGGATGAGTTTTAAGTGGTCCTTGTCCTCTTCTCCACCTCAATTCTGAATCTAGCTGGCAAGCAGAAAGGAATGCATATAATAAGTGATAACTAATTATGGAAGAATTTGTAACAGGTTATACATATTACAGTATGAAGCCATCCAAATGAACTTAAATTATCTTTTATGTGTGCAAAAATCAACTTAAAGGGGCTCCACCTTTTTGAAACTGTCTTTCTGACTGTCTTTTGTTCTTCACTAATTATTCGTGACTTTAATTTCTTAGGTGGTTTACACTCTCATTGGCAGGATGAATTTCTTAATGAGGTACTGACTATGTCCCCTATAGCTTCTGCTAATTCAACACGTAAACTTTGTGTTGTAAATGGCTTTAAGCTAATTTTAATTTTTACTGTATTAACGGGTCTCAATGTTTCCATGTCTTGGTCAACAAAACCTAATAAAGTAAGTATTGCACAAACATGATTGGATTCAGATTTATTCTGATTTTCAAATATTATTTGATTAGATGAACAAACTAAACAAACACACACAAAAACATCAAAAATTGAATGACTGACAGAATGAATGAATATTTATTTTCTTAGGAGGAGGATGAAATCCAAATCAGGAGAAGGAAGACATACTTAGAATCATGAGAGAGCCTTTATCCATTCTGTCTGTGGATTATTTTATATATTCTGGAGAAACAGGAGGAGATCACTCCATACACTCTTGCTAAAACACAACAGGCACATTTCTTTTATAATTTGTGCCTCCTTTCCAAATTTACATAATAAGATAATTAGGGAAATAATTTCCAATAGACCTACCAGGTAGTTATTCCAAAATTCATAGAAGTAAAGTTGCCCAGGAGGCTGATTTTAGGGSCAACTTGAACTGCTGGCATGGGACCAGTAGATATGAAGAAGGGGGGCTGAGAGCCTGAAGTCARACTCCAAGGCAGTGCCAGAGCTGCCAAGGACTGTTATGGCTGTCATCATGCAAACCTCACCCTGTAGGGCCACACCCTAGTCTTGGCCAATGAGCTCATTAGGGCAGGGAATGCAGGAGTCAAGG